CTGTCTCTCACTGTTCAAATAAACCTACCATTAAAATTATAGACTGATAATTTCTTTGTCAGTGGGCAAACGTACAAAATCAGCAGGGGATCAAATACTTTTTTCCCCTCACTGTAACCCTGGGAAATCCTTTCCTGTGGCGGTCCTCATGAGAGCCAGTTTCATATTAGCGCTTGATTGTTTTTGCGACTGCACTTGAAGAAACTTTCAAAGTTCTTGACATTTTACGGATTGACTGACCTTCAGGTCTTAAAGTAATGATGGACTGTCATTTCTCTTTGCTTATTTGAGCTGTTCTTGCCATAATATGGACTTGATCTTTTACCAAATAGGGCTATCTTCTGTATACCCCCCCTACCTTGTCACAACACAACAGGCTAGCTCAAACGTATTAAGGAAAGAAATTCCACAAATTAACTTAACAAGGCACACCTGTTAATTGAAATGCATTCCAGGTGACTGCCTCATGAAGCTGGTTGAGAGAATGCCAAGAGTGTGCAAAGATGTCAGTTTTGATGTCTTCCCTATTATTCTTCAATGTAGAAAATAGTAAAAATAAAGAAACTCTTGAATGAGTAGGTATGTCCAAACTTTTGACTGGTGTGTGTATATACTAATATATATATATATATATATATATATATATATATATATATATATATATATATACACATATACACACACACACACACACACACACATATACACTGCTCAAAAAAATTAAGGGAACACTTAAACAACACAATGTAACTCCAAGTCAATCACACTTCTGTGAAATCAAACTGTCCACTTAGGAAGCAACACTGATTGACAATACATTTCACATCCTGTTGTGCAAATGGAATAGACAACAGGTGGAAATTATAGGCAATTAGCAAGACACCCCCAATAAAGGACTGGTTTTGCAGGTGGTGACCACAGACCACTTCTCAGTTCCTATGCTTCCTGGCTGATGTTTTGGTCACTTTTGAATGCTGGCGGTGCTTTCACTTTAGTGGTAGCATGAGACGGAGTCTACAACCCACACAAGTGGCTCAGGTAGTGCAGCTCATCCAGGATGGCACATCAATGCGAGCTGTGGCAAGAAGGTTTGCTGTGTCTGTCAGCATTGTGTCCAGAGCATGGAAGCGCAACCAGGAGACAGGCCAGTACATCAGGAGACGTGGAGGAGGCCGTCGGAGGGCAACAACCCAGCAGCAGGACTGCTACCTCCACCTTTGTGCAAGGAGGAGCACTGCCAGAGCACTGCAAAATGACCTCCAGCAGGCCATAAATGTGCATGTGTCTGCTCAAACGGTCAGAAACAGACTCCATGAGGGTGGTATGACGGCCCGACGTCCACAGGTGGGGGCTGTGCTTACAGCCCAACACCGTGCAGGACGTTTGGCATTTGCCAGAGAACACCAAGATTGGCAAATTCGCCACTGGCGCCCTGTGCTCTTCACAGATGAAAGCAGGTTCACGCTGAGCACGTGACAGACGTGACAGAGTCTGGAGACGCCGTGGAGAACGTTCTGCTGCCTGCAACATCCTCCAGCATGACCGGTTTGGCGGTGGGTCAGTCATGGTGCGGGGTGGCATTTCTTTGGGGGGCTGCACAGCCCTCCATGTGTTCGCCAGAGGTAGCCTGACTGCCATTAGGTACCTAGATGAGATCCTCAGACCCCTTGTGAGACCATATGCTGGTGCGGTTGGCACTGGGTTCCTCCTAATGCAAGACAATGCTAGACCTCATGTGGCTGGAGTGTGTCAGCAGTTCCTGCAAGAGGAAGGCATTGATGCTATGGACTGGCCCGCCTGTTCCCCAGACCTGAATCCAATTGAGCACATCTGGGACATCATGTCTCGCTCCATCCACCAACGCCACGTTGCACCACAGACTGTCCAGGAGTTGGCGGATGCTTTAGTCCAGGTCTGGGAGGAGATCCCTCAGGAGACCATCCGCCACCTCATCAGGAGCATGCCCAGGCGTTGTAGGGAGGTCATACAGGCACGTGGAGGCCACACACACTACTGAGCCTCATTTTGACTTGTTTTAAGGACATTACATCAAAGTTGGATCAGCCTGTAGTGTGATTTTCCACTTTAATTTTGAGGGTGACTCCAAATCCAGACCTCCATGGGTTGATAAATTTGATTTCCATTGATAATTTGTGTGTGATTTTGTTGTCAGCACATTCAACTATATAAAGAAAAAAGTATTTAATAAGATTATTTCATTCATTCAGATCTAGGATGTGTTATTTTAGTGTTCCCTATATTTTTTTGAGCAGTGTATTTGTAATGTATTATTTTAACATTCACTCAGTCTCTCACACTTAATAAAAAGTAAATAATTTAAAACATCCAGTGCACTGGCCTGGGTATCTGTGATATAATAAATAATTATTGTAAATAATTATATTAAACAGTAATTTAAACTAAAAGCTAAAAATAGTTGATAGAAATCACCTCACCTAACATTTTGATGAAAGAGAAAACAGAAAGGTTTATCCTGGCTAAAGCATACATTAGATTATTGTACTTATTTTCACATTTCATGAAATTACAAACCATTCACACTGAGTTTGTGGATTTTAAAATTAAAGTATTCATGTGACTACAGTGATTTATGCACAGTTCAACAGCAGTAACAGAGCTGCCTATAAAAGTTATCCTAAAACATCTACTCTTATCCAGGATTCAAAGTGCAATTTTAAGAGTAGGCATAACCAAGCCGAACGGAATCAATGTGGTTGCATGTTATATTCTTGTGAATATACATTCAGTGGCCAGTTTATTAGGTACACCCATCTAGTACCGGGTCGGACCCCCCTTTGCCTCCAGAACAGCCTGAATTCTAAAGGTCATGGAAACGTTGCTCAATTTGTATTAAGGGACCTAATGTGTCCCAGGAAAACATTCCCCACACCATTACACCACCAGCCTGTACCGTTGACACCAGGCAGGATGGGGTCATGGACTCATGCTGCTTACGCCAAATCCTGACTCTGCCATCAGCATGACACAACAGGAACCGTGATTCATCGGACCAGGCAGTGTTTTTCCACTCCTCAATTGTCCAGTGTTACTGACCGCGTGCCCACTGGAGCCGCTTCTTCTTGTTTTTAGCTGATAGCTGATAGGAGTAGAACCCGGTGTGGTCATCTGCTGCAATAGCCCATCTGTGTTCCGAGATGCTGTTCTGCTCACCAATGTAGTACTGTGCCGTTATTTACCTGTTTGTGGCCCGCCTTTTAGCTTGCACGATTCTTGCCATTCTCCTTCGACCTCTCATCAACAAGCTGTTTCACCCACAGGACTGACTGGATGTTTTTTGTTTGTCGCACCATTCTCGGTAAACCCTAGACACTGTCGTGCCTGAAAAGCCCAGGCCGCCAGCCGTTTCTGAGAAACTGGAACCGGCACGCCTGGCACCGACGAGTATACCACGCTTAAAGTCGCTTAGGTCACTCATTTTGCCAATTCTAACATTCAATCGAACAGTAACTGAATGCCTCGATGCCTGTCTGCCTGCTTTATCTACTCTCTCAATCTGCTACAGTAATTGCTTGATGCATGTTAGAAATAAATGCATGCAACATTTATTTACCAAAAATGAGACTTGTATACCAGTGTTGTGTATATTTCTGTGTCACGTTATTCTGTTTTCTACATTGTTTTTAAAGGTCGAATGTGGTGAGATAGTTAGCGAAATTGTAGACTCATTTAGGTGGTCCTCTGTAGCTCAGCTGGTAGAGCACGGCGCTTGTAACGCCAAGGTAGTGGGTTCGATCCCCGGGACCACCCATACACCAAAAAAAATGTATGCACGCATGACTGTAAGTCGCTTTGGATAAAAGCGTCTGCTAAATGGCTTATTATTATTTATTATTATTATTATTATATAGCAAGCCACGGCCACGTGATTCACTGTCTGTAGGAACGAACCATTTTCGTGAATAGGGTAGTGTACCTAATAAACTGGCCACTGAGTGTATATACACACCTTTAAATCTTATATATACAGTGAGGGAAAAAAGTATTTGATCCCCTGCTGATTTTGTACGTTTGCCCACTGACAAAGAAATGATCAGTCTATAATTTTAATGGTAGGTTTATTTGAACAGTGAGAGACAGAATAACAACAAAAAATGATCTCAAGGCAGCTGGGACCATAGTCACCAAGAAAACAATTGGTAACACACTACGCCGTGAAGGACTGAAATCCTGCAGCGCCCGCTGCTCAAGAAAGCACATATACAGGCCCGTCTGAAGTTCGCCAATGAACATCTGAATGATTCAGAGGAGAACTGGGTGAAAGTGTTGTGGTTAGATGAGACCAAAATCGAGCTCTTTGGCATCAACTCAACTCGCCGTGTTTGGAGGAAACCTTAATGACTTGGAGAAGATCTGCAAAGAGGTGTGGGACAAAATCCCTCCTGAGATGTGTGCAAACCTGGTGGCCAACTACAAGAAATGTCTGACCTCTGTGATTGCCAACAAAGGTTTTGCCACCAAGTACTAAGTCATGTTTTGCAGAGGGGTCAAATACTTATTTCCCTCATTAAAATGCAAATCAATTTCTAACATTTTTGACATGCATTTGTCTGGATTTTTTTGTTTGTTATTCTGTCTCTCACTGTTCAAATAAACCTACCATTAAAATTATAGACTGATCATGTCTTTGTCAGTGGGCAAACGTACAAAATCAGCAGGAGATCAAATACTTTTTTCCCTCACTGTACTCATCCACTTTTGAGAGCAATCATGGAAAAATATGGAAAAGTAAAAAAGAGAACATAAAATAAATATAACCAGCGGTTATTGCTAACAGTGAAGATCACATAGGCACATTTCTATAAAGCAAACCAAATCTTATCTACATACCCCAAAACTAGGCCAAGGTATTTTTCCTGACGAGGAAAAACTACAGGCCCTACACTAGGTCAGGATGAACTCCCTTCCCCTAACTATTCCCGAAGTCAGTGGTCTATCAAAGTGTCTTAGTGGTGAGTAGTTTAAGGTCTGTGTGGATGGCCTGCCTCGTCAGCCAGGTTGAGGATATAGCCAGCTACGTCCTCCTCTGTAGGGGCGTCAGGCATCACCCATGACTCATTGGCAGCGGTGACTTGCAAGCGGCATATCGGACAATTCCTGCTCTGCCCACTCCTATGAAAACAAACCAATTCATTTCATTGACTCAAATTACCCATGAATATGGACCTTGTGACAACAGATTCATCTGTGGATTGTTGTGGCTAGTGTCCGACTCTCTTACCACTTGTCAATGCACTTCTGACAGAAGCTGTGAGCACAGGGCAGGATGAGGTCAGATTTCCCATCCATGCAGATACAGCACTCTTCCTCATCAGTCAACTGCTTTACCCTGTATGTGAACAAACACAATGGCTAGCCTCAGCTTCCAGACTCTTTCTCACGTTCGAGAATAGAAAAGTAATGAACGAGACTTGGAAGGATGGCAACGCAAGACTACACACAGACATATGAACGAAAACACACACACACACACAGTGATGTACTAACCTGCCCATCCACATGCTGGCCTGACAGGAGTCCCCTGATGGGAGGGTTCCAGACGGGAGGCTGGCGCCCTCTGCTGACAGCACCTCTGCTGCCTGGCTGGTAATGTCACGGTACAGCTGAATGAACTGGTACAGGTTCATGATACGAGACGCCTCCACCATCCCATTTTCTTTGTTGATCTGACAAACCACAAGGCAATAACACAGTCTCAAAAACATGCACATGCCATTAACACACACACTGCACACAACAAACAATTTCAGTTTCAAAACACATACAAGCCCCGTAAAAAGCTAGGGAGAGTGGAGACTGATTCACAATGAAAATCTCATTAATTGGTGACCAACTTCAGTTTGTCCCTCTCTCACCTTGGTACACACTATTCTCACAGCCACTTTCCACAGAGCAGAGGCGTCCGAGCCAGTCTGGACTTCAAAGATCAGGTGTTTTTGCTGTCCAGCTGCCAGCTTAGCTGTCCTGTCCAGTTCACATTCATGGAGAAACGTTGTTAAATCAACAAATTATTTCACCGTAAGGGAAGGACTCACTAACGGGAACAATTTAATAGTCGTGGAGAAGATTAGGCTAGGCTATAGTATAGCCTTATCATCCCCACCAATTAAAGGGATGTTTGATGATCATGAGTCATGACATTTCTGCAATATTTTATGATCAACCTTTTTAAGGTAAGTCACTCTTAAAGTTATCTAAGAGTTTTTTTTTATGCCGCTGGTTAAGTGCCGTTGTCCAACCAAAGCAATGCACTTTCTGTTCAATTCAACACTGACACCAAACTATCCTAATTTTCTGTCACTTACCGCCTGTCAGAGCTACATTTGCACCAGCAAGGTCTACTTATTGGGGAAGAGACTTGGTTACATTACAGTTGGCCGAGAACGCTCTAACTAGAGCTGGGAGGATAATCCACAGCGACCATACCGATCACTTATCGCAGGCATTCTGCTGCTATCGTTAATAAGTAGCCTATACTATAGATATGTGAAGTTTGAAATGAAATAAGTTTGCCGTTATATGCAATTGTTAATGGGACAATTGACAGATACAACCATCAAACTAGTAGTAATAGTTTAAAGGATAATACAAATTTAAAAAACTGTTCTATTGATCATTATCGCATCAATTCAGGCAATTTATCGCAATATGGATTTTTGTCCATATCTCCCAGCTCTAGCTCTTGATTAAGTTCATAACCTGGATCGTGTCAGTTAATAACCAGTGGTGTAATTGGATCATGTTCAAGAAGTGCCAGAGGAGGACCAGTACTTTGGGGCCTTATCTCACTATCTCAAAATGAAAGGGGAAAGACTGCTATTTCTCTGTAGATCTCTTTGCCTACTGACTTATTACAAAGAACAGCGCAAACAATTAGTATATTGACAGTATGACACAACATGGTCGGCCTTACACGTCATTGAGCTCTGCCACCCTGCCCAGGAACTCCTCGTAGTTGAGGTAACTGCTGTCTCGTACCAGCCCGGCGTGTTTCACCAGCTTCTCAGGTAGACGGGTCATCACCACCTGGCCTGAGATCTGCTGGCCCATCCCGACCACGCTCACACGAAAGCACTATGAGAAGACGGCACGGGGGGTCTGACCGGGGGATACCCAAACAAACACAAGCAAAGTCACCAAGTAATTTACCTACTGTCTAGAGGGAACTATTTTCAGTGAAGGACTGTTATTCAACTGTGTAGGCCACGGATGCATTGATTTTGCTAGTCAGTCTCACTCAGATATCGTACTAAAAACATTTCTCTCCTCCCCATGGCAAAATGTGTAGAATTGCAGGAAATTTGCTGTAAAACAGCTAATTTTCCTCTCCTCCCCATGGCAAAATGTGTAGAATTGCATGTCATTAGCTATAAAATTGCTAAATCTTCTCTCCGCCCCATGGCAAAATGTGTAGAATTGCATGACATTAGCTATAAAATTGCTAAATCTTCTCTCCGCCCCATGGCAAAATGTGTAGAATTGCATGACATTAGCTAGCTATAAAAAATAAAAATTAAATCTTCTCTCCACCCCATGGCAAAATGTGTAGAATTGCAGCATTTTTTAGATATTAGATAAACCTAGTCATTTTGTAAACATTTCTAAAGGGATGGACAGCTAACTTTACTTTTAATGCATTGACATGGCATGGCAATATAACTTAATGTTAGTTACTGTCATATCCACTTGAATATTGAGGCAGTTCGAGTTGCACAAAATAGCCATACCTTGCTAGCTACTAGCACGGAATTGATAGGTTTATCTATCAAAGATTAGTTTACGTTAATGTCGAAGTGTCCAGAAAAACCTCATCAGCAATATCAACGTTACGATAGTAACATTAACTTAATGATGTCAGGACTGTTATGTAATCAACTCAGACGTCAGTTAGCAAGCTAGCTAACGTAGCTTGCCTTGAAACGAAAACTTGTTGTCATACGAATGGGTTGCCCAGCCTTTGGCATTTTATCTACAGTACACATACATAGGGCTAACTAGCTAACTAACGGTATCACAATTTATTTCTTGGTAGGCTCAGATGCTAACGTAGATAGCTAGCTAAGAGAAAAACCGAGGAAAACACACACTTTGAAAGCCCAAATAAGAAAATCTGTCTACATTTGTTCAGCTTACCTGGTATTGCTACGTGTCAACATCGATATTTCGCAAACCACATGCAATCAGCAACGTTTAATTTGTTTGAGAGTCTGTGTTGTGGTTTCTGTGTGCTGGAATGGCTGTCGCAGCATGATGACGTAAGAAAATAGAGGACGCATGTTCATGTTCATGTTCTTCTTCTTCTTCTTCGATGAGGATTAACGGCGGTTGACATTTAATAAATATTGCATTACCGCCACCTACTAGTCTGGAGTATAACTCCTTTATACTTCGCTTGAAAAAAATATATATAATAAATAAATATACAACAAATACACTACCATCTAACACTACACTCACAAAAAAAATTAAAAACGAAAAATACCATACCCCATTATTTAAATCTATTTAGTCCTACTTCAGGACAACAGCCTGAAAGGATTGGACACCACCACTTAACACACCCTGTAACTCTTCTGATGTCAAGTCACGCACACCCAAATACCTCTCTGCAGCTACCACCACAACCTCTATTTTCTGCGACTTACGTTCCATCCCTGCAGTACAGTTGATAACCATTGCTATAAATGCCAAAAATCCAATCTTACTGAAAATTATATCACTTGTTGGTTTATCCCTATGTACTGGTACAGATCTACTCACACCTCTCCTCTCAGGATACCTCCCCCTTGACCCATCTTCCTCTACTTTCTTCACTGCCTCAGCATATGATAACTTCTGCACTACTCTAACCCTGGAAACCTCAACCTGCCTCTCTCGCACGGGACATTTATGATCCCCAGCCCCATGGGCATCCCTACAATTAACACATACCACTACTTTCCCCAATGCTACACATTCCTTTGTCTCGTGCCCTTCTGCACACTTCTCATACATAGGAACCTCCCTCCTACACACTGCTGCCACATGCCCATAAGCTTGACACCTGTAGCAACGTAATGTATTCGGCACAAAACTTGTACAGGATAACTTATATATCCTGTATGAAAAATGTATGACTCACTAACTGTAAGTTGCTCTGGATAAGAGCGTCTGCTAAATGACTAAAATGTAAATGTTAATATCCTAACATCACTTTGTCGGGCAAAGACTCAACATCAAAACTCAAAAGAACAGACAATGACTCTTCTGTTTCTCCACTCACGCCACCCTGTCTGCATCGCACCAAACGATGAGCATCACAAACACCGGGAATCTTCCCCTTCAGTTGGTCAGCATTCACATTTACCGCTACCCCAGAAATCACTCCTTTCAATGGTGCCCTTTTCTTGAGAGCAAAACTATTCACATCTCTTGCCCCCATTTGTTTAACATGGAGGGCCTGCTCCCTCTGACCAGCAGAAACACAAACAATTATCACAAGACCACTTCTGGTTACCCTCACCGATTCCACAGCACCCAACTCTGTTGTCACCCACCCTGAAACCACAAATGGATCAGCCAAAAGGCAAGGGTCCACTTTTTCCAAACACTTCACTCCTACTGTCACAGATTCATCTTTATCCTGACCCTCAGTGCAAGCCTTGGGCTCCGAGAACTTCACCACACCTACCACCTCATTCACTTCCATTTCTCCTCCTGTCTTCAACTCAATCTGCTTACACTTTCTACAATTCTTCTTTAACAAACCATCTCCCTTTTTACCGCCATTTTTAACCGACTCAAGCTCACCCTCTTCCTCCCTCTCTCAGACCTCCCTCTGCCTCTTTTTCCCTCCATTCCTCCTCTGTATTCCAAGCATAAGTCTCCTTATGATAATACTGCACTTCTCCTGACATACATCTTGTTCTTGCCTTGTCAAGGGACGCCATTTAACCGGCTGTCACAATGTCCATACAATCATCACGAACCAGCCGTGGTGGACGCAATCCTTGCACTGGATGTTTTATGCAGATCACTGGTACCTCTCAAACTAAATTACTGCAAAGTCAATTAATTAATGTGTTCTGAAAGAAAGAAAGAAAGAAAGAAAGAAAGAAAGAAAGAAAGAAAGAAAGAAAGAAAGAAAGAAAGAAAGAATATATATATGGTATCTATTTTCCAACTCTTGTTCAAACAATATGGCCGCTGTGAGCCAATGAGCTTGCATGAATGATTTTTACTGTCCAACAGTGCCTCTATGCAGCTACACTGAACCCTACTTTACAGGTTAGATAGATTCATATCCCTGAGCATGTGTGCCAAATTTCATCATTCTGAGTCAAACTGATCGAGATAAACATGTGCCCGTTATAGCGCCATTGTGTGGTCGATCTAAATGTGCTTAGAAACGTTGAGTCTTGACAGTGTTTGGAACATGTGTACCAAGTTTTGTTACAATACGAATATCCATGTCGGAGTTATATGCATTTAAACATTAATGTTTATTGGTCAGTGTTGTTGTTTGAGATGCTATCCTGGAAAAGCATCCTTTGTGAGAGCTTGGTCCATAGATGCCATGTATCATGTTTTGTGCAGATCAGTCATTTAGTGCCAGAGGAGTAGCGTTTTAAGTGTCTTTCATAAAATGATATATATATATATATATACATATATATAATTTTTTTACCAAATACAAAACATACACATATGAACAACAACTTACAGACGCACACAAACGACTACATCTCCTCTGCCCAGACCCGCATGCTCACACCTCCATCCCTAGTGCCTGCATTATTGTTTGCCACATGGCCTTAAATTGTACCAATTCGTTTTTCTCGTCGCCCATGCTATTTCAATATTTCAATAATAAATCATTAGATTTTTCCATTGTGTGAATGATGGCAGATTAATTGATTTCCAAGTTTTTAATAAACGTTTTTTCAAGATGAGTGATGAGAAGAGAATTGTCCAGCACATTGGGTATCTCACTACACCATATGCCATGTCTTGAAATATGCAGTCAGACGGATTAAAAGTATGTTTATAGCATACCCAGATCAGCTTTAATAATGCAAAGAGACTTTTTCCAAATGTTTCTACATTACAGCCTTATTCTAAAATTGATTAAATTATTTGTATTCCTCATCAGTCTATACACAACACCCCATAATGACAAAGTGAAAACTGGTTTTTAGATATTTTTTCAAATGTATTAAAAATAAAAAACATAAGTACCTTTTTTAAATACACTACCAGTAAAAAGTTTGGGCACACCTACTCATTCAAGGGTTTTTCTTTATTTTTACTATTTTTTACATTGTAGAATAAAAGTGAAGACATCAAAACTATGAAATAACACATATGGAATCATGTAGTAACCAGAAAAGTGTTAAACAAATATATTTTATATTTGAGATTCTTCAAATAGCCACCCTTTGACTTGATGACAGCTTTGCACACGGTTGGCATTCTCTCAACCAGCTTCATGAGGTAGTCACCTGGAATGCATTTCGATTGACAGGTGTGCCTTCTTAAAAGTTAATTTGTGGAATTTCTTTCCTTCTTAATGCATTTGAGCCAATCAGTTGTGTTGTGACAAGGTAGGGGCGGTATACAGAAGATAACCCTATTTAGTAATAGACCAGGTCCATATTATGGCAAGAACAGCTCAAATAAGCAAAGAGAAATGACAGACCATCATTTTATTTGTATTTTATTTAACCAGGTAAGCCAGTTGAAAACAAGTTCTAATTTACAACTGCGACCTGGCCAAGATAAAGCAAAGCAGTGCGATAAAAACAACAACACAGAGTTACATATGGGGTAAAACAAAACATAAAGTCAAAAATACAATAGAAAAGATATATACAGTGTGTGAAAATGTAGCAAGTTCTGGAGGTAAGGCAATAAATAGGCCATAGTGCAAAATAATTACAATTAGTATTAACACTGGAATGATAGATGTGCAAGAGATGATGTGCAAATAGAGATACTGGGGTGCAAATGAGCAAAATAAATAACAATATGGGGATGAGGTAGTTGGATTACTTTAAGACATGAAGGTCAAT